CTGTGGCTTGCGCTGCGTTGGGTCTTGCGCTGTGGCTTGCGCTGCGTTGGGTCTTGCGCTGTGGCTTGCGCTGCGTTGTGTTTTGTGCTGTGTTTTGCGCTGCGTTGTGTTGCGTGTGAGGTGCGTAGTGTGGTGTGTTTTGTGGTGTGTTGTGTTTTCTGGTGTGAGTTGTGTGTTCTGCGTTCTGTTGTGTGTTATGTTGGGTTGTGTGTTATATTGTGTGGCGTGGCGGGTGTTGTGGCGTGTGGTGTGGCGTGCTGTGTGTTGTGTTGTGTGGCGTGCTGTGTGTTGTGGTGTGATGTGTAGTGTGTTTTGTCTTGTGTTTATTCTGTTGAGTTCTGTGGCATGTTGTGTTCTGTTGTGTGTTGTATGTTGTGTGTCATGTTCTGGTGTGTGTGTCATGTTCTGGTGTGTGCTGTCTTGTGAGTTGTGTTTTCTGGGGTGTTGGGTGTTATGTTGAGTGTTGTGTACTGTGTTGTGGTTTTTTCGTGTTGTGGTGTGTGGTGCATTGTAGTGTGTGTTCTGTTCTGTGTGGTGTGTTGTGCTGGGTTGTGTGATGTCGTGTGCTGGTTGTGTTCTCTCTTGGGTGGTGTGTTGTCTATTATGTGGTGTATTGTGTATTGTCTTTTGTGTACTGTGTTGTTTGTAGTGTGCGGTGTCTTATCTGTTGTGTTGTGTGTTGTGTGGCCAGTTGTCTGTTATGTTGGGTGTTGTCTGTTGTGTATTGTGGTCTGCTGTGTGTTGTCTATTGTGTATTGTGGTGTGTTGTCAGGTGTGGCGTGTTGTCCATTATGTGGCGTGTTGTCTATTGTGTTGTCTGTCGTGTGTTGTGGCATATTGTCTGTTGTGTTGTGTTGTCTATCGTGCGGCGTGTTGTCTGTTGTGTTGTGTTGTATTGTCTGTCGTGTGTTGGGGCATTTTGTCTGTTGTGTTGTGTTGTCTATCGTGCGGCGTGTTGTCTGTTGTGTTGTGTTCTCTGTTGTGTGTTGTGGCATATTGTCTGTTGTGTTCTCTTGCCTATCGTGCGGCGTGTTGTCTGTTGTGTTGTGTTGTCTATCGTGCGGCGTGTTGTCTGTTGTGTTGTGTTGTATTGTATTGTCTGTCGTGTCTTGTGGCATCTTGTCCGTTCTGTTCTGTTGTCTATCGCGTGGCGTGTTGTCTGTTGTGTTGCGTGTCGTGTCTTGTGGCATCTTGTCTGTTGTGTTCTGTTGTCTATCGCGTGGCGTGTTGTCTGTTGTGTTGTCTGTCGTGTCTTGTGGCATCTTGTCTGTTGTGTACTGTTGTCAATCGCGTGGAGAGTTGTCTGTTGTGTTGTCTGTCGTGTCTTGTGGCATCTTGTCTGTTATGTTCTGTTGTCTATCGCGTGCCGTGTTGTCTGTTGTGTTGTCTGTCGTGTCTTCTGGCATATAACCTTTTGTGATGTCTATCGTGTGGCGTGTTGT